CCTCCCCCACCCCCAGAACTAAGCGAAGGAGACCCCAAGAGGATCCTCCCGAGACTGCGGGTGCTGCCAGGAGGAGGAGGCTGGCCCCTCACTCCTAGCTGGATGCTCACTGAGCTGCAGGGAGCTGTTGCCAACTGCAGGCATGGGTGTGAGGGCGTCCCTAGGGAGCTCGGCATGCATCCCTGGAGTGGTTCCGTTCCCCGCAGGGGAGAAGCCTGCACCCGCAGCCAGGAGAGCAGGCACAGGAAGGATGATGAGCCGCTGCACTACGGAGGGCTCCCGGAAGGCCCCACGTGCAGGGCATCCTGCAACCAGCCACATGGGTGCTGGGCGAGGGGGCTGCTTCCCACCTGGGCAGGGCAGGGCCAAGGGGGCCGAGGCTGCCCCCTCCTGAGGAGACCCTAGCAACAGAAGAGGTTCAGCTTCAAGACAACCAGGCACCCACCTCTTGGAAATGGCAGCAGATGGAACGAGCCTGAGAGCAGGCCTGTGAGGCACACACGGCTCCTCCCGGCCCTGGCTCCAAGGTACCCAAAGGGAGGGAGGGAGGAAGATCATGTACTCCTTCCACCCTTCTGGAAGCGAGATCTGAACAAAGCCTTGGAGTTGCGAGCTGGCCTGGCCTGTGTCTTCATGACTAAGAGTGCCCAGCACATGTTGGGATTGGCTCTGGAGACCCAGCAGCAAGGGGCTTCAGCAGAGCTCGGTGGAGCGAAGAGCCCAGTAGTCTCAGTTTGGAGCCTACTAGGTTAGAGAGTCCCCAGTAAACTAGCTCTACGAGTAAGTTAATGATCAGCACAATCTCAGTACAGATGGTAAAAAGGAACTGGAATAGGTGGTGATTTGTGGGCAGGGAGGAAGAAGTGACATCAACCTGAGATGTGGCAGTCTGGGGTAAAAGCCACCTAGGCAGCAAGGATCGCAAGTGCAAAGGCCCCGAGGCATGAACACGCTTAGAATGTCAAGGAACTTAAGACCAGTAAAGTCGTAGTCTGGTGTGTGCCAGCAAAGCAGAGGGAGGTGAGGCAAGCAGGGCCACAGGGATGCAGATTTTATTCCAAAGGCAGCAGGAAGTCACTGGGGGACAGACATCATAGCTGTTATATCCTCAGAGTGCCCGGCACTATTTGGGAGTCTAGCAAGTGGCTATTGTATCACTTGCCTGAAGAGCCCGTTCTCAACGAGCAAACATTATGAAATGCTTGCCGCGTCTGCAGAATTCATTCTTAAATGAATGCATTTGTTGAATGAACACTGACTCGAGCATTTGCTGAGCACCTACTATGTGCCGATCCCTGTTCCAGAGGCTGGGGCTTAGTCCGTGAGTAACACAAAAATCCCTCCCCTTGGGGATGCACGTTGCAGGGGCTGAGATAGGTGTTCAACTAAGCAGGTGAGCGATGCCAGGTGACAGTAGAGCAGAGGGCACAGCGGCACCCCAGGAAGGCGATGCAGCATTAGCGCAGTCAGGGAAGACGCCATCGTGAGGTGACTCACGCAGGATCTGCAAGAGCCCAGAGCACCTGGCGCCCTCTAGGCATGAGTGGTCGTCGGTGCCCCTTAGAGGTGGAGCGTGACCACTTTCCTTCCCTGGAACCCAGTGCGGGATGGGCACAGGCTGTGTGGATGGGCACAGGCTGTGTGGATGGACACCAGGGTGCAGAGATGACTGGGGCTCAGCCCCTGCCCTGGGGTCACCTGCACTCCATGGAGGAGAAAGATGAGCGAACACTTGACTTCTAATCTCCATGGAACCCAAAATGTGCCCAGCCAGGGTCTCCCGAATGACGTGGGAGGACAGGGGAGCCATGCTCCGTCTCCTTGGCTTCCACGCCTCCCTTCTCTGTGGAGAGTGGGCCGGGCCAGGGCCCTCCTCGTGGCTCTGTGAAGCTGGCCCTTCTGCAGGTCTTTGGCTGCCTCGACATGACTCCCACCTCCGGGAGGGCAGGGCAGCCCAGCTGAGCAGGACGTGGGGGACACCGCAGGGCCAGTCGTGTGAGGGTGGCTGCTCTGAAATATAAACAGTCCCCTGTTCAAAAGTCATGCCTTTGTGACACCTCAGCTCTTTCCCTGCCACACCCTTTGTCGGAGTCTTCCACTTTCCTGCGGATGAGGTGGGAGCAGCCCTAGAGTTTTCCACTGCTGGGAAAGGTGCGTTGGCTGGAGTATCTTCTGCACCAAGACTCGGGGGCAGGAGGCAGCCTGGGCAGGGTCTATCAATACAGCACATTCATGTTGGTGCTAAGATGTGATGCTTTAAAGATGTCCTAGCCCACGCTGGGGCGGCATAAGCAGATTCCGTCAGTCCCAGGATGGGAGATACAAGCGATGCTGGTGGCTGCAAGCGATGCTGGACCATAGCTTTCCAAGGACTTTTGCCCCCTGGAGACATGGATGGTCTTGCACTGTGCTTTCCATTCCGGCATGTAGGGTCCTGCCTGCACAGAGGATCAGGAATGACTGTGGCAGTCCCCTGGAGGAGCACCAAGCCTGCTGGGCAGAGAGTGCTTCCAGAGGCCTTGCAGGGAAGAGAATTCCAAACCTAGGGAAGCATGTGCAAAGGCCCTGAGGCACGAGGCTGGGGAGGCCCCTTGGGGAACTGTGCGTGGCAGTGTAGGGTTTGGGGATGGGGGTGCCCAGCAGGTGAGAGGCAGGTGACAAGGACAAAGCAAGAACACCGAGCTCTTTGTACCCAGAGTAGAGTTGGACTTTTCCAGAAAAGAGTGGAAAGCCACTAAGAGTTTTCATAGAAGCAACCCCCTTGAGCTCTGCTTTAGCAAGATCAGCCTGGAGGAACTGGAGGATGGAGTGGCAGAGGGGTTATGAGGCCAGACCCAGCCGACAGCTGCCGGGGACGGCGGGCCCCAGCTGCTGTCGCTGTCTCCAGTGTTAGCAAAAATTGGGGAGATGTATTTTCAGCCCAACTCAGAGATGTCTTCACTTCCCACCCCTCCTTTCCCTTCAGAACATCAATTGATTTTTAAAGTGCGTTTTCCTTTATTTACTTCAGAGATGGAGAAAACGCAGTGAGAGTGACTTCTTCGGGTTACTGATTGGTAGTGGCAGAGCCGGGATCAAGCCCTCGCTGCCAGCCCTCTGTGGGCTGCAAGATATTTATGTATATGAGGCCGTCCACTCTCCCGCTCTGCCGGTAAACAGCTGATGAATATGAAAAGGATGGAGCAGAGAGCTGGTCTCCATCCTGAAGAGGCAAGAAGATTGGGAAGGCTCATTTGGAGGAAATATTGAACAGGCAGTTTTCAACTTTCCCCTGGGATGCCAGGGGAAAACTGCATTTTCACCAAAACCATCATGTAACTGGTTCCAGGGGCAGAAGGAAGGGACCACAGCAGAGCATGGTACCCAGAGACCAGGAGAGCAAAGACTGGGTTG